TGGGCTGAAGGATCTGGGGGTGCATAATCTGGAAAAGAGATGACTCAGGATCTGGGGTGGGGGGAATATGATTTGTTGTTGTTATTTAGTCAATTAGTTGTGTCCAACTCATTGTGGCCCCATTTGGGGGTTTTCTTGGCAGAGATACTGAAGTGGTTTGCCATTTCCTTCTCCAGCTCATTTTTTTTGTTTTGTTCTGTTTTGTTTTTGCTTTTTTTGGTGAGGCAATCGGGGTTAAGTGACTTGCCCAGAGTCACACAGCTACTAAGTGTCAAGTGTCTGAGGCCACATTTGAACTCAGATCCTACTGACTTCAAGGCTGGAACTCTATACACTGTGCCATGTAGCTGCCTCTCTCCAGCTCATTTTTACAGATGAAGAAACTGAGACAAATAGGGCTAAGGGACTTGCCCAAGGTTACACAGCTAGTAAGTGTCTGAGGCTGAATTTGAACTCAGGACTTCCTGACTCCAAGCCTGATAATCTATCCACTGTGCCACTTAGCTGTCTCTTCAAATATTTTAAGTACTATAAGTGTGTGTGTGTGTGTTTGTTTATGGGATTATACTTATTCCGTTTTGATTGCAGAGGACAGAATGAGGAGTTACCCATGGTGGTTGGAATGAGGCACAAAAAAGCTTATAAGGAAAACCTTCATAATACTAGAAAAATACAAAAATGGAAGGGGATTTAGGGGGTTTCTTCCTACTAACAGTCTGAATAGCCACTTGTCTGTTTTTGAAGGGATTTTCGTTCAGGTATAGATTGGACTAAGTGACCTCTGAGGACCCTTCAACCTCAGTGTTTCAGCGAAGTACCAGACTCCTTCTACTCCATGGCCAGAGATAGCTCAGTGGTGCCATGTATAGAGGGCTGGGCCTGGAGTTAGAAAGAACTGAGTTCAAATCCAGCCTCAGACACTTACTAGCTGTGTGAACCTGGGCAAGTCGTTTAACCTGTTTGCCTTAGTTTGCTCAACTGTGAAAAGCATCTACTTTGCAAGGTTGTTGTGGGGATCAAATGAGATAATACTCGTAGAGCACTTAGCACAGCATTTGGCAAAAGCAAGCTCTATATAAATGCTTATTCCTTTTTCCTTCCTTTCCTCCCTTCCTCACTGTCCTGCCTCTGAAAAGGAATTGACTTCATTAATGACAGTGGATTGTAATAACCTCTCGGACTACCCCAAGAAATGAGACAAATACCCCCAAAGCTGGGCTCAAATGACCTGCTTTTCTTCCTCCCAGTCTTGGCCCACTGAGTGGGTCACACTTCACTTCTAAGGTCTGATCTCATTCACAGACCTTGGTTCCTAAGTCTAAGGCTGAAGTGTCCAGTGACCACCCAAATTTAACCTCGGAATGGAACAAAGCATTTGATAGCTGAAGATCCCTTAATAACCCTCCCCCCGCTTCTTGAGTGATTTGTCCAGTTCCCTCAAATAACAGCCATCTTCTCATTTTATAACACTTATTTAGGCTGGCCGAGTTGAGGGATGAGTGCACAAGACAGAGCCCTGAAAGCCTTCTATGTCACAAAAAGCTGGGGATTAATCTCTTCCTCATGGCTGGCCACCACTCCCAGCTCTTTGACCACAAACCCCTTTGACTCTTCTTTCCACAGTGGAAAGATGGAATGAGAGAATTGGGGAGCAGCAGTAGCTTCTCTATTTCAGGGCTGGGCTCCCTGCCTTCTTTGGTCCTAAGATGATAGAATTCAGAGCAAGATGCTACCTTAGATATCATCTGGACCAGCTCCCCTATTTTGAGTAAAAGTGACTTATGGTGTCATGTAAAGGATGACGAATTGAGAGTCAAAAGACCTAAGTTCTCAACCTGCCTCTGCCAGTAGCAAACTTTAAACAAGTCTCTTTAAATCAGAGGCACACAAATGACCCTCCCCTCAGGGGGTCCACCGTTAGATCTTGGGAGGGTCTGTAACCTTGGATGTGAAAAATGTGATATCTTTATTTTCACTAATCTCTGGATCCCTTAGTAATCCTATTATTAAAAACATTCTGAGAAAGGGTCCATAGGTTTTGCTAAACTGCCTAAAGGTCCCATTATATACAACAAAGGTTAAGAATCCTTGGACTAGATGTTTTCTAAAGTACCTTTCAACTCTGATGTTCCAGGCTTTATGGTTTAACATTCATTCTATAATTCTTACCCAGAGCCTGTCTATTCTTGGGGAATCTGAGCTTTCTTTCTATGCCAGAGAATGCCACAGAACCAGATTTTGTTGATATAAAATTAATAATCCGATGCTGCACCACTGCCAGTCTGACATCCTGTTAACACTGCTAATGTTTAGTATCATTTCTGGAAACTGGTCCATCGCCTGCCTGTAGGTAGATGGTCTGCTACCTCCTCACCCTCTTCAGTACCCTTAAGATTTGCTACTAAAGCACCCAGGAGAGGAAGTCATCCAGAAAGGTCATCTTCACCATCCCTCTGCCCATGACCCTATCCACATACAAGCCACGGCTGAGGTGTCTGTCCATTTTTCTGGGCTGCCTGATTCCTGCTGTCAGAAGGTAAACATTACATACACACTGCAAGCTCACAAATGTGGATCCACATACAGAGGCTGGGCCTCCATTTGTGCTTCCCCACTTCTTCACTATGCCATATGACAGACCCAGAGCCAAACAAGGCCTTATAGCCAGAGTACGTACATGAATACTTGCATGCGGGTGCAGAGACTCCTGATGCTCCAAGTATACTGATGAGTAAAGGAAAACGTGGAAATGGGCATGGTCCTCAGTCAGGGAGTCAGAGCAGCTGAAAATGTTGCCAGGCTATAACAAAGTCACCAAGTGCCTAAAACTGTCTGGTCTCTCTAGCCCAAAATATGGGGCTCTCTGGCACAGGGAGAGCCTGGGTCTTCATTGGAGGGTCCTCAGGTTAGAGAGGGCTTGGCTGTGGACTTGGAATAAATGGAAATGTATTTGGAGACAGCAGCTTCCAGGTTGAGAGAGAGAGGCTGAATGGGTTGGCAAGACTCCTCAGGGGAAGGCAGAATCACAGGAAGATTGGATGCAGCCCGAGAAAGCTCTTAGGTCACTTAAATGCCCATTCAATCTCTAGAGGAGCTGGTCTATAATATGGAACTTACACGCCTCGGCCTGCTGTGGGGGATTGGCTCGAGGAGTGAGAAATCTGACTCGTTCTGCCTATGTGCTTCCTGTTTCTGTGTTTGGGAGTTTATGTGGGTCTAAGACAAGGAAGCAGGGTTTGGGGAAGGGAAGCAGGTGGGAAGGAGGGTCAGTCTAGCTGAAAGGCTTTAGGAGACAAAATGCTCTGCCCCTTCACCTCTCAGAGAAGCAGCATCCTAACTGGGAACTGACATGAGCACTTCCAACAGAGCTTGAACAGTAAGGGGATGGCATTTGTCATAGCAAAAAAGGACCTTAGAGAGGCAGTGCCCACTGGGTCAACCAAACAGCATAAGAAGGCATGCCTTTACCTCGAAAGATCTGCTCTGAAACTCCCATTGTTACCTTGTTTTCTTTCCCTCCTAAGGCTGTCATGTCAGCCACCCAGCGCCGCCTCCCCCAACCTCCAACACATCCCCAACCATGCTCAGATCATCCATAGGAGAGATGAGGAAGGAGGGGGAAGGGAATGGCTTCCTTGACTGGTCTGTAGAGGTACTACCAACCCAGGAAGGGTTCTGGTTTAGGCAATTCTCCCATCTGCCTCCCATCATAAAAAGAAACACAACCAGCAAACTCAGAGGTAGAAAGGACCAGCCACATACCTTGAGCTGCCTTCTCTGCTCCATGGCAACTCAGCACCCCACATGGAGCAGATGTGACCCTAAGAACATAGGCATTTTTTCCCCTGCTGCTTCCTCCTCCCTCCCCCTCCCCCATCCAGTCCCAGATGGTGAGCCACTTCATCATTTTATGTCACTATTCTCCAAGTTTCCCTCAAGGACCTATATGGCAAACACCCTTAGGTTAGACACCAAATGTACTTCCAAAAGATTGGTCACTAGTGTGTGTAATGGAGGCAAGGAACTCAGAAGCATTCAAATACCACCCAACGAAGCAAACAGAAGTCCCTGCCCAAGATCCAGAGTAACACAGACAGCAGAGTGAATACTAGGATACTGACTCTGGATGTTCCTAAGAAGAGAATGCTTCTCCCTGGTGAAGCCACATTCTTCTGGGTCTACCAGTGTCCTTGTCTCCAATGTCCCTTTTTCTCTAGGGTCCCAGAAGTTTGTGGCACGTTCTCTCTATCCACTGAGGTTAAGGGAAGGTGAAGTCTCCTCCTTGAGCTGAAGCCCCCCTTCTTCCCCCCCCCACCCCCCCACACAAAAAAAACTCTACCACTCATTGTATGTGTATGTGTGGACTTCCAGTCTGAGCCTGATAATCCCAGCCTTTAAGGACTTGGATAGCCAGGGCTCTTAATGGCAGGGAGACAGTGAAACAACACCTCTCCACACCCACACCCCCACACACATTTACCACATTTTTTAAAAAAGCCATACAGGTCTTACCATCTACAATTCAGCCAACATCTATCTATCTGGATTTTCAAAGGACAAAATAATTAAAACAAGAGGTCTAATTCCTTTCAATCTTTGTTCTCTTCCACCACCCGGTCTTCCAGGTTCTCATCTACAACTCTTGCCCCTTCCCCCCTCATCTCTGTCCTATGCCCCCTTTGAACCAAACCTAAAACCCTCCTGTCACTCTAGTCTCTGCCCTCACACCTATCAGAGACATTCTAAATAGCAGAGAAGGGCTGGAGGTTGGGGTAGCAAAGGGTCAGCACAGGCTCCCTCACAACCTCTGGGTGGGGAGGGAGGCTGGTGCCAGAAAGGTACAAGAGAGGAAAATGAAAAAAGGGGTGTTAATTCTGTTTCCCACTCCAATCACTAAGCTTTCTCTGTGCTAGTCCTGCAAACCAAAGCCCAAAATCTCAACACTATATGGGGCTCAATAGTCCCTTGCTTTTTCCCCTATCCCCAATACCATTCAGGGGTCACACTTGTAAGTGGGAGGGGATAGGACAGATAGACAGCAGAGGTGCTGCCATCTTCCTCTCCGGATGGACCACGACCTAAAGAAAATAGAAGGGGAAGCAGGACTGAGAAGGGGAAGGGGAGACTGATCTTTGGACCCTCTTGGTCAAGCCTTCCATTATCAGCCCTTCTCTGTGCTACTTCTCCCCAAGCCTCAGCCAAAGTCCCCCTTCCTGTCTAATGTCCCCCAACACAAGTACCACTGGTGACAGTGCTAGACCAGCCATGGGGCAGGAGGTCAGCAGAAACTCCAGATGCCTCTTCCAAACCAGGCTGTGACTCCAGAAAGGTAGACTGAAGAAGAGGAACAAAGAAGATGGGACCAAACACACTCTCGCTGCCCAGGTCCCCTTCACCTAGACCCTCCATACCACCTTCTCTAAAACCAAACCAAAAGCCTTCCTTCCCCTTGACCTTCCCCTCCATTCCCCCAGAAATCAGTGTCAGACTGGAGGTGGGGGCCAGTGCCCATCCAATCACCTACCCCCCCACACACAGTGCCCCCTTCACCCCCTCCTCCCCCAGACACCGCCCCCGGCCACTGGCTGGGCTTACCTACCTCTCATTGTCCGCGCTCCGGAACCCAGGGAGGATGTGGCGGAAGCTGTTGTTGCGATCGAGCCTGGGCTGGCTCTTTGTCCGTTTGATGGAGCCTTTGAGCCGGCGGCTGAGGAAGCCCTGCGGGCAGGAGAGGAGGAGAGCAGGTTAGCCCCCAGCCCTCCCGGACAAGAAGGGCAGCCCCGGGGGAGGGGGCCCGGAGGGAGGGCACTCCCGGCTCCAAGGCTCCCTGGCTCCCGCCCAGCCCGGGCCAATGCGCATTGCTGTCAGCAAGGCTTGCTCTGGCTCTAGCTCCAGCTCCCGGCTCCAGCTCCCTCGGAGGGCTGTATCCAGCCCACATCTGCTCCAGCCGACGGCCAGCCGGGCGACGTAGACGGGAGACTCCCCTAAGCCTCTGTTGCCATAGCAACCACCAGCCTGAATAGCAGATTGCAACTAGGAGGGGAGGGGAGGGGGTGGTCTCTGGGTGGGGCAAGGGAGTCCGGTACCCCCTGCCTCTGCATCCCCAACTAGTGTCTACTTGTATGGGGTGTGTGTGTGTACACGTACAACGGGGCAATGGGGGGAGAAGGGCCACAAGAGTCTACAGCATAGGTGGGGACCACTGCAGCCCCCATTCCTTACTTCTGAAACATTTCATCAAATCTTACTGAAATGAGGTCATGGCCATTCAAGGGGGTTCAGTGCATAGGCTCCCTGCCTAATCAAAACTCAGAGGTGTTTTCTTTCTTTCCCCAAGAACTGGCAGATCCTCCGGCTATTTAGATGGAGGTTCTGTAGGGTAGGTGAGAACTCTAACAGCTAAAATCCTGGTTATGCAAACAAAGCAGAGGGTTAATTCTAATTTTGCCGCTAATTCACTATATGACCTTGGGCGAGTCATTGAGTCCCACAAGGTATCAGTTTTATCTGTCAAATGAGGGGGTTGAACTAACATTCTGTGTTCTTAAAGTCTCTTCATTCTGTGATTCCATGATTCCAAAAGGGCTATGAAATTTGAAAAGACAAAAATCAGGGGAGAGAGAGTGGAGAGGACAGCCGTCTTACAGTATCCATACTAGAATGGCAAAGTATGGCCAGGGTGAGCCTAAGAATACCACCTCCACTCTGTGCTTCAGCCTAGCTATAAATATTCCATTTTCTCCTCACAACAACCTTAGGAGGTAGGTGCTATTATTATCTGCATTTTATAGATGAGGAAACACACAGAAAGATTAAGTGATGTGCCCAGGATCACGTAGTTAAGAAGTGTCTGAGGCAGAATTTGAACTCAGGGCTTCCTGACTCTAAGTCTAGCACTTTATCCACTACATTTATAGCTAAGATGTTAATTGGTAACTATGGGGTCTGCCAGCTAAGGTTAAAAGTGAGACCCTTTTCCTTTCTACGTTCCTTTAAGACTTGAGAGTCTTCCCTTTGACGAATCAGGCCAAGTGCCACTTCCTATAGGAAGCCCTCATTGATCATTCTCCCCTCCTCTCCCAACCATGGAAGTGTTCTCTCCTTTCCCTGAACATCATCATCATCATCATCATCATCATTGTAATATGCTGCTGCTGATCACAACTAGCATTTATATAACATTTAAAAGTTTGTCAAGCATGTTACATTCTCTTTACATAACTAATTTTACCCTCACAGCAACCAGGTGGCAGCTACAATTATGATGAGGAAACCAAGGCAAACAAGGTTAAGTGATTGCCAAGGGTTACACAGTTAATAAATATCTGAGGCTAGATTTGAACTCAGGTTTTCCTGCCTCTAGGTCCAGAGCTCTATCCAGTGCACTTCCTAGATAGCTGCCATAATAGTTTGTACCTATCGTTCATAGATTGTCTTGTATCATCAGAGGATCATGGGACTTAAAGCTTAAGAGATCTCTAAAAAAAAAACTAGTCCAATCCTTTCCTATTTTTTTTTTTTTTTTGCTTTTTTGATGAGGCAATCATGGTTAAGTAACTTGCCCAGGGTCACAGAGGTGCCTGTCAAGTGTCTGAGGACAAATTTGAACTCAGGTCCTCCTGACTCCAAGGCCAGAGTTCGATCTACTGTGCCACCTAACTGCCCTAATCCCTTCCTTTTGTTAAGTGAGGAAGTTTATCCAGAACTGTTCAGTTATTTGTCTAAGGTGACACATAGCAGGGCTTTAAACCAGGGCCTTCTGCTTCCAAAATTCCAGGGCTTTCCACTATACTGTTCTTCCTCTATAGTTTTCTCTATTTGTGTTTTATTTCCCCAACACAATTGTGAACCCAATGAGAACAGGGACTGTGGTAGTCATGCTGTATCCCCTACCACACCTAGTGAAGTAAATGTTTGTTAAATGATCACCTGTCCCAAATGAAAGTCTTAGGTTTGGGGCGGGGATGCTGCAAAGACAGCTGTCTACTCAGTCAAACCTGGGTCATCTCCCATCAGTTTCCCAGGGAAGTCCCCCTGAACCTGATGGATCTGCTCTGAGCTGCCAATGTTTCACTGGGCTGACACATAAATTTTCAATTATCAAGGGATACCTGACCAAGATGGTGGTGAGGAGCCAAGCAGAGATGGAGACAAACTCCAAGACTGCTCCAAATATTAGTTGTTATCTGTGCCCTATATTACATGGATATCATACTACCCTACAAGCCAGGGAGAAAATGGCACCACTCCAATAGGCTATTTGCTTATTCTGAAGAGTTAATATTCTACATAATCTGAACATTAAATTTCCTCTATACGAGTAACGCAATAAGAAAAATGAGGCCTATGATGATCCTTGTGATGGCCTCTGCTGCTAAATTGCTAACAGAACTCAGGCAGACACAAGGCATAGCAGATTTTAGGCAAAGATAACCATGGTTATAGGGGCAGCTGCATGGCTCAGTGGATAGAGCACTGGGCCTAGAGTCAGGATGACCTGAGTTCAAATCCAGACTCTGACACTTACTATGTGACTCTGGGCAAGTCACTTAACTCTTTTTCCCTAGGAGGCAGTCAAGTGGCTCAATGGATAAAGTTCTGAGCCTGGAGTCAGGAAGACTCATCTTCCTGAATTTAAATCTAGCCTCAGACACTTAACTAGCTATGTGGCCCTGTTTGCCTTAGTTTCTTCATCTGTAAAATGAGCTGGAGAAGGAAATGGCAAACTACTCTATATTTTTGCCAAGAAAACCCCAAATGGGGTCATGAAGAGTCAGACACAACTAAACAACAACAACTATATATATATATATCATCTCCCTTCTCATTTTATAGGTTAGGAAAATTAGATCTGCAAGGGATGAGCGACTTGTACTACTTATCCAAGATCACACAGCTAGTGAATGGCAAAGCCAGAACTAGAATTCAGGTCTTCTGACTCCCAGGCCAGTGGTCTTTTCTGGAGTGTTTTGGTCAAACTTATTTATTAATTCTAATACAGACAGAAGAGTCAGATGTCTTTATGCCATATTTACAGGATATCATATATATCCCTAATGCCCATTTTCCTTTCCTCCTACCTCCTTCAATTCAGATTCTCTCAGGAAAGACAAGGGCTGGCAGAGAGGTTGGGTACTGGAGAAGATGGGAGGGCAGCAGGTCACAGAAAGTGGAGGGCGGGGTGACAAGAGGTTCCCTGATCCATCTGGAAATGTGGTTCATATAACCCCTGCCCCAATGGGAGCACAGGCCAAAAGAGCAGCTACAGCTGTCTTGGGAATCTGCTCCATGGAATGAAGCCAAATTCCATCCCCAGGTTTCCCAGCCCTGGCTCAGTATACCATGATCTGCTCTTTGGCCAATGAATAAGTACCCAAGATAGAGGACATCCAGTCAGCCTGGGTTAGAACTCTGGGGGTCCAAAAGCCTCTTTATCAGGTAAAGAAGCAGTGGGTGCAGGGGGGTAGTAGAAAGAACACTGAATTTGAGTCAGGAGACCTAGCTAGGAAACTTAACTATGTGACCTTAGGCAAGTCATTTCCCCCTTTTTGCCCTTCATTTTCTTTATCTGTAAAACATGCGGGGTAGGCCTGGATGATCTTTACAATCTGTTTCAGCTTTGAATCCTTAGATGCTACTCCCCATCCTGAGAGGAAATGCAACCAGTGTTCTCAAAGGTATTCCACAAACACAAGGCAAACCCTAATAGTCCAGAAAATGGAAGGGTTGAATTTTCATGAGGGACCTGATCATAATGAACTTAATCATCTTTATTTTTTTGTTAATTTATTTTGATTTATCAACACTTCCATAAGCTTTTGAATTTAAAATTTTTCTCCTCCTCCTTCCCCCCCCACCCCAAGATGGCACACAATTTGATATAGGCTATACATATACATTCCTATTAAATATATTTTCACATTAGTGATGTTGTAAGGTTTAGAACCAATAGGAGGGATCACAAGAAAGAGGAAACAAAACAAAACAGAAGGAAAAAAATGGCAAATTGTATGCTTCAATCTGCATTCAAACTCCACAGTTCTTTCTTTGGATGTGGATAGCATTTTCCATCATGAGACTTTTGGAGATGTCTTAGATCCTTGCAATGCTGAGAAGAGCTAAGTCTACCAAAGTTAGTCATCTCACAGCATGGTTGTTACTGTGTACAACATTCTCCTGGTTCTGATCACTTCACTCAGCATCAGTCCATACAAGTCTTTCCAGGTTTTTCTGAAACTTAATTATCTTTAGTTAGGCACTTTTACAAAGTGGGTCTTGAGCACAGGGTCTCCCTTTAAGAAATTCCACTAGACATAAATCCATACTTAACCACATGACAGAAGAGACCCATATATAGTTCTGTTAAATCAGGAGTTCTTACCACGTTTTGTGTGACAACGACCTCTTTGGCAGTCCAACAAAACCTACAGTCCCTTTTGCAGAATACTCTAGGTTTATAAAGGAAACCAATTATATTGAAATATAGTTATCAAAGTATTAAAAGAGAATAAGCTTATGTATGGTGGGTTAAGACCCTCTGCTTTAAACAGTAAGCACTAGAGGGCAATGACCAACAAGTCAATGTTTAGGAGTTAAGTGCTATTCAAAGATTTACATGTATAAACTAGAGAGCCTTCCTACTACCCCCTTGTTCTCCTGTGTGGAATGTTTCACTCCCTCCTCTCTGCATATCTGTAAATACATGTAAAATACATTTA